CTCTATACAATTGTCCCAATGCCTACGTACAAGTGACAAATATAATATACTTGCCATCAATATCGAGCTTGAATTGAAACGTTTAATGCATGATTAAATCCAAAAAATTAGCCCTAAGGTAGTCTATACAATTGCATAATACCACCCATGTGTTTTGTAATTACATTCAAAGATAAAAATAAGTTGTAGATGTTGGTTTATTTCAAATCAAATAATTAATTCATGAAGTTTTAGAATATAGGAGCATTTAATTAAGCTTTACCACCTCAAAGGTTGACCGACCTCACCCACAAATCCGATCTCCTCCATATATTTCTTTTTGAAAAAATGTGCAATCTATATATAATTAATTGCTTTTTGAAGATAGTAGCTCCATTAATTTAATCCCCATTACTGTATTGCAAATAGACACAAGAAAAAACTTGGGCGCTCCTGTATATATATATATATATATATATATATTCTTTCGCCAAAATCCACTTCATAATATCTAAACCACTTCCATCTCTTTCCCAATTTCTAATCTCATCTGTAATTTCCAGACAAAATAATTCCTGTGCAATAAGTAAAATACAATAACAATAAATTCAATAAAACAAAAAAGAAAAAAAAAATGGATTCAAACAGCGGCGAAGAGAGCACGACGAGCGACTCCCCGTCGCCTCCGGCGCTGCTGTGCCGTGTGGGGAGCGGCGGGAGCGTGGTGATCGACGCGGAGAACGGCGCGGAGGCGGATTCCGGCAGAAAGCTGCCGTCTTCCCGATTCAAAGGCGTGGTCCCGCAGCCCAACGGTCGGTGGGGTGCCCAGATCTACGAGAAGCACCAGCGCGTGTGGCTGGGGACCTTCAACACCGAGGAGGACGCCGCCCACGCCTACGACACGGCGGCCCTCCGCTTCCGCGGCGGCGACGCCGTCACAAACATCCGGCCGCTGGCGCTGAGCGACCGCGTGGAAGCGGCATTCCTGTTGTCCCGCTCCAAGGCCGAGGTGGTGGACATGCTCCGCAAGCACACGTACGCGGACGAGCTGGAGCAGAGCCGCCGGCACTACGCGTCATGCGGCGGCGCCGCCTTCCTCTTCCCCCGAAGCGGCGGCGCCCGCAACCACCTGTTTGAGAAGACGGTGACTCCGAGCGACGTGGGGAAGCTGAACCGGCTGGTGATCCCGAAGCAGCACGCGGAGAAACACTTCCCCCTCCAGAATTACGGCAATAACAGCAATTCGAAGGGTGTTCTGTTGAATTTCGAGGATGAAGTGGGTAAAGTGTGGAGGTTTAGGTACTCTTACTGGAACAGCAGCCAGAGCTACGTGCTGACCAAAGGGTGGAGCAGATTCGTGAAGGAGAAGAACCTGCAGGCTGGGGACGTCGTCTCCTTCCAGAGCTCGACTGGGGCCGAGGGGCAAATGTATATTGAGTGGAGGAAGAGTGAGAAGGGTTCGGTGAGGCTGTTTGGAGTGGACATATCCCAAGCGCCGAGGCCCGAGAGACGTGGTGGGCCCACATGGGACGATGGGGTGGATTTGGAGTTGGGGTTATTGAGATTGAGTCCCACCAAGAGACAGAGGTTTATTCATCAGTTTAATTAATTACTTTAGTTTGCTTTTCCCAGAAAAAAAAAATAAAAAAATGGAGGTACGTGGTTATGGATATACAATTGTATGTATAGTACACACACAGGAACAGCAGCAAAGGATATAGCTAGCTCAAGAGGAACTTAATTGGGNTCTATTAAAATTTATATTATGGATATGAAGGAATTTGTTCTTTTTCTATTTTTGGAGTATTTGAGGTGTTATTTTCTTTCTGTTATCAAATTTAAGGAATGTGGGAAATGAAATATGGATCATCATGCATTCATGTTTTGAATCATTAACAATACAAATATATATCTTTCATTAGCTTCCTTGATGCCATTATTATTGTTATTTGTCTTTCCTATGGCCATGATTAAAAGAATTTGTTGTTTAGTTGGTCTAAAATGTTAAAACTGGTTGGAGTATGCCACTACCGTTGTTCATACAAGTGGCTGTGTGGACTCACCATATCAAGTACAAGAATATAATGGAACAACATACTTAGGTTAGGGTGCAACCTTTCTCCATAAAATGGAAACATTAATGCACCATATTCTTGGACTGATTTCCTCTTTAGATATGATCATATAAATATATATGTATGTATGTATAGAATATGGTTCAAATGAGAATCAAGTCCTAGCGTGAGAACTGTGAGAATCCCTATTTTTAATTGTACGTGGTGCTATGATTGATTGTATTTTAGTTCTATTTCCAATCGAGATGTATTTTATTAAAAATATCAACACAATTTATGTTAGTACTTGTGAGAATGATAGCACCACGTGATAATGAAAATAGCATCATACACAATTAAAAATAGCATCAAATGTTGTTCTCACGGTTCTCACACCAGGACTAGTTTTTATTTGAACCAGTACCTGTATGTATATATATATATATAATATTGATAAAAGGAGACGATTAATAGCTTTACTTAACATTACAACAGAGTAATCCTATTAATCGAATCGCCTCTATATATAATTATCGAATGTGCCAAGCCTAAGTGGCAGGCTAGCACGCTTCGGGTTCCTAGGTGACAAATTTCTAAGCTTAGTTTTTTGGTTTACATAAATTTTAATTTATTTCCAATCCAAAGTAAACAGACTTAGAATATCCATAAATATACTGGATATTTATGGCCCCCTTTAAGAGCATTAGTTATGTTTTAATATTATTTCTATTGTAGACGTGCCTTATAAGGTATAATTTTTTTTTCAATCTTTCTTTTTGAATTATAAAAAAATTACTAAATTAAATTATAAGTATATTCAAAGGTTAATAATTTTTTTATTTATTAACAACTTGTTATATATAATATATCAAATTAATCATATCTTGATGAACTTTGATTTGACATCTATATTATACATACTAAATAAATAAATAATTTTATTAATCTTTATAATTAAAATTAAATTAACAATTAATATTAATTCGAAAAAATAAAATTACTTAAACTAACTTAACTACAAAGTCGTTATCTGATAAAAAATTAGAAAAAAAAAAACTTATAATATAAGATGGTAAGTTGTTTAAGTGACGTTGTCATTTTAAATATAAATAGTAATATATTTCTTTTTAAAAAAAGTATTTAAAATTAAAAGAGTTTTATTATTTAATTTTAAATATAATTTGTTTAACAAGAACTCGTGTTGTAGACGGGTATTATATTCGAAAGAATATAAATACAAGTGCAAATAACATTAGAGATGGCCACGAGTCGAATCAGAACCGAAATCGGGAGTTCTGCACTGGAAGTTTAATTTAGAAAGTAATGTTTTATATTTTTTTGAATTTATTATTATTTTTTATTATTCTTTTTATTTTAAAAAAAATCAATTCTGCTCAAAACTGGCTGGCCGGTTCACCGTATATATATCGGGGCCAGTTCTAGTTCATATAAAATATGACCCTGGACTGGCGTTTTCGAGCCAGA